GTAAATTGTATGGGCACTGGCTGCAAAACTGGGCGTCCTTGAGACATTGTGATGCATCAGCAGAGCACTTTAAGTGGTGCCTCCTGTAACACAGTCACAAGTACACTGTGATAATTACAGGCTAACCTGAGAGAGGGATGGAGCCTAAAATGACAGATGGTCGCTGCGAAGTTGCAGATGACAGTGTTTAGGCTTGCATACCAAAAGTTTTTCTCAGACCTTTCATTTAGAAATGTAATTTTATCAGATGGCTCATCTGCCATGCACACACAGTGCAGGAAAATACAAGCCAGTAAATCATGCTGATACTGATGACTAGTGTTAAAAGAATACATCAATCAATTTATCATCTCCGTTGTCTTTCCATTAATGGGACTGTCAGAGATGCATTTAGACAAGCAAGTTTCTCTCTTGTTAGCTTTAGTCACAAGGTAAAGCATTAGTTACTGCTTGATTTTCTTTTAACGTATGAAGCAGCATTTACTTGCATGTATTGGTGCTTTAACTTAGACAGCTGGTAGACCACCCATGAGGTCATCCCACTGTTACTTCTACCTTTCCCTCACTTAGCCAAAAAGTTCATATATGGTGTCTGTTCTCAGTTGCCTGGAGTCCTTTATAATCATTACTGTCAATGTAAAGTAGATGTAACATGCTTCTAAATCAGAACAATAATGATGTATAGTTGGTATTCATTCAACAGGCCAATTTCACTGTGAAGCCAGTTATTCCGGTTGAAGACCTGGTGCACAAGATGTATGTGGATACTTCAGTGGATACTGAAGAACTGAGCCCATGATCCAGTACCCAGCGCAAAAGAACTCCAGGAGGCAAGTCAGTAAAAGAGCAGATTTCCACTTAGGGTGTTATCCATGAAGCAGTCACAAAACAAATAGGTGAATCTGTTGTAGCAATTAACATTGTTCAACATGCTGTGACTCATGGGGAGGGAAATCAGGTTAACAGAAATTGTATCTCCTTTCAATTCATGATCTCAGAGCATAGCCACTTTAAAATACATATATGGACCTATTAAAAAAAAAAAGTATGCATTTGCATGATTAGAAGCCATTTTTTAGCATAGTCAGTCTGTCAAGTCTCTGTAACAACTTTTGAACGCATTACTCAATTTAACCCAAGTTTGAAAAGGGGATTGTGCTTCAGCTATCTATTTTACAGCTTACTGGAAAACAGCAATCAGGCAAAGGAGGGAACTGCAAACCAACGCTCTGCACTAAAGGAAGGGTAAGCAGAATGCAGTCGTTATCCTACTGTTTTAGCAGCAGCCAACGAGACGATAACCAGGCATAACTCAGCACTGGTGCTGGCTCTCATCCGTTAGGGGAATCATAAAGACTAGCTGAAGATACTGCAGTGGGAAGAATGGCACCATGTAAGGACAAACCCCCAAATCTGTAGGAAATCAGGGTTTACTACCTCTGCTTCTCCTGGAACAACTTGTTTATGTGCTCAAGGCTCTAAAAGTATTTCTTGTGTGTAATTGTTAGAGTAACTAGAGATAATAAGAAGAGGTACAAAAAGAATGGAGTTTCACTGTTTGGCAGTCAAAGCCAGACGCCTAACCCTTCAGGCATATAATCCTATTTCATTAGTGAAAAGTCTAATGTAATTTGATCATAACCATTGCTTTCAAAAAGGTAAGAATATTACCATAATTATATACTAGAGATAGTTTCATGCAGTTAAAAACTTTATTGTAATATGCCTGTGTGACTA